TCTCTTCGGAGCCGTCCATAAAATGCGCCGGCACAGCGAAGATTTGCAAGATGTCAGGCTGTATGAGTATAGCATTTTTCTGAAGCTGCTTTGAAGCTGCAGAATCCGGCCGGTTGTCAATCTGGGCTTCTGAAGGAAATTGAGAGTGCACAAGAAGGGACTTTTCTGTCAGGGATGGTCGCTATACTGCATGCCACATCAACAAGCCTTGAACATGCCACATCCGGAAACGGTCTTTTCCAGCACCCACAACTCGGCCCATACCAGGCCACCGGTGACCAGCCTTTCCTTTGAAAGAAGGGATCTCGTTGGTGGGTCTCCAGCGCGGTCCGGGGTTCCGACGCGGTCTGCGGTCTGCGCACCCCATCTCAGGTCGCTCCAGTGCCCGTCCCGGCCGGAGTCAACGAGACGACATGATCGTTGATCCCTGTGGATCCATAGGGGATGTTACTCCCGGGCCGGGCTCCAGTCGTACCTTCGTTTCGAAGGTGGGACTGGGGTGGGAGGGTCCAGTCATACCGTACCGCTTCGGAGGTACGACGGGAGCCCGATGGCACTGGCCATCCCGGACCAAAATGGCTAGAATCATGCAATTCCTTCGGGACACCCCACCGGACACATGTCTACAAATTCCTCAAGATCCTCAAGATTCAGACCAAGAAATTGCGTGTCCACCTTGCCCAGGTGACCCTCTTCTCCCACCATCGGCCTGTCCCAAGAGGTTTCGGTCCAAAAAGACCTCTTCGGCCGCTGAGCTGATCAGGCACCCCTGTCTTGCCCAAAAGCTGACCTAGCCTCAAAGGCAAGTCATGTCTCCATGTATCTGCCCCAACCTCTGCACTGCTTGCACCCTAAGAATTGGTTGCCTATTATATAGTTATTTTATACAATGATTGGAGAAACCCATCATCCTGTAGATGTTCCACTTGTAATCAATTTAGACATATTTTAACCATTGAACAAAAGTGGTATGATGTGAGGCCATCTGGAAGGGGCCTGTCCAGCTTCGGATTCTGAGCCACACTCGGCTTGGGGGGACCGGAGCTTCGAAAAAAAGCAAAAGTCTGATGGGTGATTCAACCATTAACTAGAATCTGTTATAGTAGGATATAGTAGGATCTCTTCGGTCTAAAGGCGATCCTAGACCCAAACCATCGATCCTATACACGGTGTTCTTCGATCCAAGTTGCCCAGGACGGTCCAAGTGGTCGTCATCGATCCAGTGGCGAATGGGTTGAGACTCTGAGCCTTTGGGAAGGGGGATTTGGAGCAACAATTCCTCCCACCTTGGCTCAACCTCGCGACTGGAAGATCCTTCTTGTCAGACTGAATGACGCGAACGAAGAACTGCAAACTCTGGATCATCAACACTGGTTCAAGCAAGGTAGTCAAAGTACAATGGCATTTCGACAAAAGTCCTTTTGAATCCTTTTGAACTGCTCTGTGGTGCGGCTCATTGGAGCTGTGTTCTTCTTCTCGCTGCGCTTTCTTCTCGAAGCTCCGGTGTAGCGCATCCGGACGTCACCCCCCAAAAGAAACAAGCGTTGACATGCGTCTTTGAGTGCTACCAGGCAAGGTAGGAGCTTCCAAAGCATACATGGCCATGGAAATTGTATGCATACCCCACCGTATCCTACCCTGCCAGGAAGCAGAAAAAGGTTGGTCAAAAAAACAGGTAAAAACACTTGCATCATGTGGCTCCATACTTTCCAGATCATTCGGGCGTGTTGGCCTTCCCAAAGCAGAAAACCGCCCGTCCTGGTCCCGCCCAGAAAGCCCATCCGTCGGCGGCCTGGCCAATGATCTTCCTCAGCCCATCCTGGGGAGAACGGGTTCGCAGACTTCGTCGGGAGAGTCCAAGGATGGCGGAAGAGGATGAAGCTCGCTAAAAGCTATAGCCTCCCCACACATGGATTTCGGGACTGAACTGCACCATGTTATATAATTAGTGGAAAGCAAAGATTCGGGCTGCTTGGAACATGTTGAAACATGGAGGATTGTGTCGGATGAGCCGGGCAGGTACATTAAAAAAACGCCGGCCCAAAGGCCTTCGCTTTTCCTGCCGAGGTGCATGGAAGCCGCCCAAACTCAGAAGCCACTCGAAGTTGGCCTCGAGCGCCTCACGGGGAAATGGCACCAAAGGCCGTGCTTCGGAAGCTGACAGAAGCCATCGCTTGGGGGGAGAGAACTGATCAAATAGCTTATTGAATAAGATTTTAAAATAGCGTGAACGAAAACGTATAGTATAGAAGGGAGCCAAGGTCCTTGTGAAAACCCAGCCCTTGCTACCAGGTTGGCAAGTGCGAGACGCTGTATATCCGTAAACGTGGAGACGCAACAAACCAATGCGTCACGGATCGTCACAGTCAACAACCCTTTCAAATCATGTTCATGGCGGGAGAAAACCACTTGCCCCATCTGTTTGTTAATATCTTTACAATCCCTGGGGCTCCAAGTACCTCCTCAGAAGGTATTTGGACCCTCCAAACCCACCTCAAACACCTTCTTAGAAGGTACTTGGAGCCCTAGGGAATATCTTGTTCTTGAATCCTTATCATCACCAGGTAGCTCCTGGTAGCTTTATGAGAATCAGCGATTCGGGGGGCCAAGTCTTGCGAGCAAATGTTGGGAATGGGAACCCCGTTCCACTGTTCACTATCCACCACATTGGGGGTCAAAGCCTGATGACCTGATGGAAGAAAAGAAGCTTCGGTCAATTCTAAGGGTCTACCCCCCTCAAATTCTTGGTGAGAGAAGGGATCAAAACAAGTCCAGCCAGCGAGTTAAAACTCCTCATGACGCTTGGCTTTTTGCAGCTATGGCGATCTTTGGCAAAGCTAGGAGGTGCGGCACCAGGAGTGGTGCTTCTGATTCCACTTTTGCCCGCAGTTCGGAGTTGCGCTTCCCCCTCCCTCAGCATCCCTGGTACCTTGAGGTGTTTCTCTGCCGTCGCCATGTGCGGAGCCAGGTGGATACGCAAGGGGCTGCCACCTGGCGCCACGGATGACTCCGTGGCAGAAGCCGCCGCTGATGGCGGCGTTTCATGATGTGTGGAGTGGGACGTTTCCTGATGTGGTGGAATTCTTTGGGTCTATCCTATTGCCAGTAACACTGGATGGTTGGTAAAGGCCTTGTTCAAAAATATCTGCTTTCTTAATGAATCGCTTTTTCAAGCTTTTTGCTGAAGGACTGGAAGCCAAGCGCGAATTCTTAGTCATCATTGCCGAGAATTGTTGACGGACTCTTACAGGCAGGACAGGCCAAAGGACTTCTGTTCATGTGTTCGAGGGTGATTAGCTGGATGGATCCTGGGGACAGGGTCTGAAAGTGGAAGCAACACATCAGTGGCTTGTTGGCAGATATTGTTCCATATATACCTTGATGTGGGAGGGAGAAGGGGATCAAACAGAAACCTCATGAAACCTCCATTAACCTCCATTACTTTGTGATGTCTGGCTTCTTTGGATTCATGATTTGAAGCCCCCTAAACATACGTCGAAGTTCATCACCCTTCCCTGTCATGGGGGGATGGAACAAAAGCACCCAAAACAGTTTCCATACATCATCGCCATCAAACAAACCCCTCAGTTTGCCCGGAAATAGAGGTTAACCGCAGCCTTTTTCTCTCTGTTCTCGAGCGGGGAAACCAATCCACGCCCAAAAAGGATCATAACATGCTTATTCACTGACTGGGTAGGAACACATAAATCCATCTTTGTGAAAGTCTTTCTCTTTGATCCTTTCCCTGCCGAACCACGGCGCATCACCGTCCTTCCTCGGGTGCCCCGGCGGAGCACTTCTCCATCCAGCGCGCCGAGCGCCTGCGCCCCGGCCTGACGCATAGCGAAGAGAAGGAGGGGCGGTCGCCATGCAAACCCCAATCATCTGACTGATGCGACTCGTAGAGAACATGGGAAGAATCTCCCCTATACTATACCTATATTCACTCCATAGGACTGCCGATCAGTTGGGGTGGTGCCAGGGGGGTCAATGTAGGCATATATGACAGACATGGAGTGTCTGGGATAGGGAATGAGCCCCTACTCCACCCGTCATTCCTTACGAAGCACCAGTCAACCCAGTGATGTCTCGCTTGGGAATCATCGGAGATGATCCAACCGTAGCTGGTGATTTTTGTTGAAAGATTTTGTGCGTTCCAGTGCCTCCATCCTCAAAAGAGACCTATTAGAGCAAGCGACGTCGGCTATGAACTGACTCATGACGAGACTTTGGGTCTGTCCTACCAAGGATTCGATGTCCAGAAAGGGATCCTGGAAATCGTTTCTTTGTAGGCAGAAAAGCAAGGAGTTTAACAAACAAGTCGGTCCCATCAGCCTTTATGCCTTTTCTCCACCAGTGCTTCACCTAGTTTTGTCCAACCCTCCTTAATTAGTGAAAACAGTCCAAGTCCCCAACTTCACACCATCAGTACTTCCAGCAATCCAAACCACTCGCTCGCAATGCTCTCCTTACCTGGACTATCCTGTCTGGGTGTCCAAGATCCCTATAGCAAAGTGAGGTAGTCCAGCCACACCCCGAAGCGACTAGACATGGTCACCAGGTGTCGGCCCTGTGGTCGAAGCAAATGCATTGGAAGAACTACTGGTCACCCACTGTGAAAAACACTGCGCACCGACCGATGTCTCCATGTGTCAGTGCCTTGGGTGCTTCCAGAATCTCAGGGACCTCTCTGAACCAAATGATCTCAGGGGATTGAGTATCAGTCTATATCAGTCTATATATCAGTATCATTGAATCTCAGGTCCATCTGGGTATCTGGCTCAACTAAAGTTTTTAACTTCTAGCGAGCTTGCATTGGTGTGGCTCGGATCAACGATGATCAACTCACACCTGCTGACGTGTTGTTGCCCCGTTGGACACTGCAAGGGAGTTTGGGTTTCTGCTTAATCTCAACGTTCCCCTGTGAAGAATCATGTCTTGAAACGGGTGTGTTTGGGGAGCCATGTTTCCGCTTACAACGAGTGGAACTCGGATGAACTCGGATGAACTCGTCGACCTTGTTTTTTTCCCGCAAAGTCAGACGTCGACTTTGATCAATGACCCCCTGATTCTTGGAATCTCCAGAATCTCACATCACAACTGACGTACCTTAGCTAGCATATGCCGCGCAGCAATGACACCCGGCTCTTCTGCTGTTGGGGGTCCCCCTCTTGGAAAGAGAGAGAGAGAGAGAGAGAAGCACTTCCAACCAAGTGAGGTCGCATAAAAGAAGGTGAGTGGCACAATAGTGGCACATCCGGGGCACAGCTCATAGAACCTAACAGCATCAACCCCGCAAATCACTTGCCCCATTTCTTCAGAAGTCAAGAAAGATGAGAGAAGCCAGCCCTCTTTTTGGAAGACATCCAACTGCCTTTTGAAGGTCGCATACCTTGGGACAAGTAGCTTACTAGAACTCTGGGAAGCCAAAGAAGGGTGCCAATGTCTTTGTCAGGGTATGCTCACTTTTCCCAACAACCGCAGGAACATGCAGGAACAACATTCCAACCTGTTGACCGTTTTAGGATTTTAGGAGGCAAGGTCAGTTTATTGAACAACTGGCTATGGCTGTGCCTACCTGGCCAGAAACCAGGGGCCCACCAACCCCCCTGTTGGGGGGACTTTTGGATGTCCTCTTTGGTCATTCACCGGGCACCGGTACCACGACCAAATCCTTCGGACCAACCGCCAGACCGGGTCCGGCGCGAGGTTTCGCCATTGCTCGGACGTGCCGGGAACGGCGGACGTGCCGGGAACGGCGGCACATCCGGTGACCGTTGGATGGACGTTGAAGCTGAAAGGACACACTTGTGCTTCCAATGGTCACCTGCTTGGACGTTGAAGCAATAGGTGGATGGACGTTGAAGCACACTTAGCCTTTGCATCCACCTGACCTATTGTGTTTCCAATGGATGTCCAGTGGTCAGCACGAAAGAAAGCAGCTGGAGATACTTGACTCTTTGGGTGTCTGCCAGGACCAGGTGTCTTTGAGCGAAGGCTTCTGGCAGAGCCCCGCAGAGCCAACCAAAGTTGATGAAGATTATTCAAAGCTTCCACAAGATGACATGTGAGTAATCTTCATCAACTCTCGCCCCAAAACTCAAGCACCATGAGGTACATTGGATCAAAAGAACTGTTCAAGAAGCCCGTGAAAGACCTGGACTGTTCTCCACCTGCACTGCATGTGAAGACCACAACTGGGGCTCGGCTTACACGAGTTAACCCTGCATGATAATTCGATGATCATTAGTACATTAGTTAATCTGTTTTTGAGTGGATCTCCACGAAGTAGACCACTAGTCACTAGACGCAACCGAACCTGTGGGCTTGCCAGTCCCACCTGCAAGATGATGCATGAAAAATAGAGAAGATACTCCCTTAGTTGAGATCTTAAGGGTCTGATTGGATGGTTTGGCGTATTTGTAGAACATTGTAGAACTAATTACTCCGCTTGGTGCTTCCAACCGAAGAAAGTCATCCCAGGCTTTCAGGCGGAACATCAGTTGTATTGGTGAAAGCTAAGAAAGAACATTGCACCTTCCAAAATTCATGGGTAACCTTGCTCATTTTGTCTATTTATCAATGTTATCTATGACAAAACAAACAATACATATATAATATAATACATTATAATATTGTAATATAATACAATATAATATATTATAATATTATAAATAACACAATACAATATATAATATATATAATATATACATATACATCAACAATCACCACTCTAAATGTAGGATTCAGCTAATGCTATAGACCATCTTTCTGGTGGCGATCCGCTGTCAGGAACGGAGGCGCTCCGCGCGCCGCTCCGTTACGCACCAAGGCACCGGGTCGTTACGCACCAGCACGACCGACCGGTGGCTGAGGCGCCTCAGGCTCCTGGAAGTGGGGGGATTCACCACTGAGGCACGGAAGGTGAGGTGAGTGACCTGGTTGTGTAAGAGGACCAAAGCGTTGGAGTTTTGTGGATCAATTTGATGTGTGAAGGACCAGTAAGTTGCAGTTGAACTGTATAGGCTGTACTGGCGTCTACTCCAAAACCCTTCCTCTATCAGCAACTTCAAGAGTGCCTCATCTCTGGAGGCTAGTGCCCCGCTGAAGTCAGTCTTGGGGAGTTTCTCCGCCACTTTCCCACTGTCTAGGGAGTTTTGCAATTCTGAAACTCTCTTCAACACGCTTCGAAAGCACCTCCATTTTGAGGGAATATAATCTCCCCAGCGCCCATGGGCGCGCCCTCCAAACCAAGAACTAGCTTGCAGAGTCGTGGTGGCGACATATCTTCTTGAGGTTTCCAGGTGCGCAAAAAAGAGTCAAGAGACTTGATTTGATGTTTAAAAAAACATTCGTTGCATCGACAACTTCCATGTTTTGCGTCTTCAAACCCTCGGTCCGCCCAAGGTAGGGCGAAGCAAGGCGTGGCCTGTCAACCAGGGTGGCGCCCTGACCGAGCCCGCAGGTGCTCAGAAACTCTCAGAGGCTCGGTCAGTGTGAAGCGAAACCTTCCCTCATGCGGTGAGGGTAGAAACAAGCCTTGGACCTGGACCCGACTTCAAGTACCCCAAGGAAATGGGACATGAGCCTAGTTGAAACAGGTACTTGTACCCAAATTAGGAGTAAAATACTAGGCCTTTTGGTCCACAGAACCCCTAAGCAGGTGCTTTTGGGTGCTCAAACATGCTGCAACATCCACAAGAGCCTGTCATCTGTCATCCCATACTGTCTCCGATGTCCTGCTTTGGCACAGCCTCAGCAAGTGAATGATCAAGCCTCTTTGCAGCATCCGCTCAAACATCCAAGAACATGTCACTCAATGAATCTAGCATCACCTGCCAATGCTTGCCTCACCAATAATATCAGTAGCATTGCATCAATTGCCTTTGCCTGTTTTACAGCCTTTGCTCGCCAAAAACTTAAGTTTTGGGGATAACCGGAGAAGTCCTTTTGGTCTGGCCCTTACCAAACACATGAGTGCACAACATCACAACACCAGGTTCAGGCAGTAGTTCAGGTGTCCGCTTATCGACCTGTCGGCTTTCACGCCTCATCCTGGGACTTCGCCCTTTTTCTGGAACCTCTCCCATCTGAGACGACTCTCGACCAACGCACGACTGACCTGAAGCGGGAACACCGCGAGGAGTGAGTTGGGTTGTCCTGAACACCCCCCTCGGGAGTCCATCTCCACGAGTTCGGTGCATTCAGTGCATTCCATACATGTTCTGCCAATGTATGCAGATGTTGGAGAGACATACAGTACCCATTCACTCCATGGGACTGCCATATACCTGGACCCTCCAAGGGGTGCCCAATGGAAGCCTATAGGTAGTGTGGGGTAGTCCATTGGACACCCCTTGGAGGGTCCAGGTATATCATATATATATATATATTGCCGATCAGTTGGTTTTTGGTGGTGGTGCCAGGGGGAGTCGTTCTGTAGTACATATCACAGACATGGAATGTTTGGGATAGGGAATGAGCCCCTACACTCATAACCAAATAGATGTCCCTTTCCTCTAAAACAACATATCCCTCAAATAGAGGGAATTGAATTTAGACATGGAGTGTTTGGGGATGTTTGGGGTATACACTTTCTGTTGCCCGGCAATCCCATGTGATCCCAATCCCGCTTCGATTCTCCCGTGCCGTTCACGTCGCGCCGATCGCGCTGATCGCTCCGGGGCACGGTGGTGGCCACACCGGTGGAGCCAAAGCCGCCCGCGCCGCGCAGCGTCTCGTCCAGCGACCTGACCAAAGCCATTTTTCTTATAGGAGACAACAGGAAACCACCAATTATACAGCATAGCATAGTCAATCAAAGTTATGTTCAGTTATTTTCATCTTGAATCTTGATTACCAAACTGATCAGTCATGCCAGTCATGCACTACATACCCACCGACCCCACATCCAAAAAGACACGACGGCACGGCCCCAGCCCATCAAAGCACGTGCGTTGTTGGTCTCGTCTTGTGCCAAGATGCGCCACTTCTTGGCAGTCGACCAAAGAGATCTGCCTTCAGGTGGAACAAGATGGGAAACAAAACATAAAAGCAACATCTCCCGTTTCTTCATGTTTCTTCCGTCTGACTGAACTTCATCCCCGGTGTGTGAGTTCGGTCATTGACAGGGACTCCAAGGTTCACGAACTGATGAAGCTGGTCTTTACATGCAGTCTACGACTACGAGCTCCCTTCATCAGCTTGCCATAGGAGGTCTCCACTGCAAAGGCTGAAGTGCAGCACCAAGCTATGTCCAAACCCTTTGAGTTGAAAGCTCCCAGCCATCACGAAAAAAATCGAAAAGCCACGGAGGAAAACTGGAGGAAACTGGACTGATTTCTCCGAACGGCGGAACAAAAAAACGAGCGTGTTCCGCATGCGGTTCTCTCACGTGAACAGCGGAAATCCAAAATCGGACTCTGAAGTCCGGTTGACCATCCAGCGACCGATGCTCATCGACCGATGCGCAGCAAAGAAAGCCCGTTTTTCGGATCAAAGGTGATTAAACGGTTTCAGGTTTCAACCGACGAAGGGATGCTAAGAGTCCAAGCATGGTATATGGTATGCAAATCCATATCTATTCAAAGGTTAGTTATCTTTGTAAGTATTCAGTACAAGAATTGGGATAGACTCCGGATAGACACAACCTGGGTATGCGCCAAACACATGGGTTTAGTGCGGCCCGAACTGGCCCATGGACTTCTATAAAAGCTGCAGGTTTCTGTCTCCGCCATCCACTGACTGACCCGCTCTCCGGATGCGAATCTGAGCAGCTGGAGGATCAGTTGCGCCACGCGATCGCCCACGGACACGGCGAAGTCCTGAAGAGCCGCATCTCTTCAGCTGAAACGCGTCCATGGACACCGAGGCCAGACCCCAACATCTATAGAGTTCAACTCTCTTAATCAAAGAGAGTCAAACCCAAGTGATGTTTGGGCTCTCCATGTTAGCCTGCCTGCCTGCCAGGAACCTTTACTAGGAAGTCATCATAAGTCATCCTTTCATCTAAGATCCTTTAAGAATCAAAGTCTGTTTCAAAAATAACAACATACAAACATACAACATACAAACATACAACAACAACATGCAACTCCATCAAGCTCCTCTGCACCGTGGTTGAAGAGGACCACACCCACCTGAACCGGCCGATGACGTGAGGTTCGAGAGTCGTGGACTCTGCGTTTTCTGCGTCGTTCGTCAAGCCGTGCCTCCCCGCGGTGGGCGTGGTGCACTACACCAGCTCCGGTGTGAATCCTTGGTGTTTCTCAGAATGACTCAATGACTTGTCAAGCAATTGGCATTCAACAAGCTGCCAACACGCGGCCACTATTGCGGATCCATGATATAGTAAAAAAAAACAAAGCACTGGACACATCGAAATCTGGACAGGCATCAGATTGATCTTGCATGCAATTGCATCCAAAGGGCATCTTCTTCACTGCAAGGCCAGAACGAGGAGCCACCCTTGCATATGTTCCCTGACACATGTGGCACGCGCGCAAGACAGCCACGCAACCAGCCAAACAACTCAACAAATCAGGAAGGGTGGCTCAATGTATTACATTATGTATACAGTAATTTACACGACCTTGGACTTCGCAGAATGCCAGGACCAGGCCAGGACCAGGCCTCTGGAATGGCGATGGAAATCCCAGTCTTCACCAGGCCCTGCGCAGAAAACGGCGAAAGTCAGCAAGTTTGCTGAGGCTCATCAGTTCTGTGCTTGAAGGTTAGCGGTGAGCAGCATGGTTGATGGATTTGGCCACGTTTTCAGTGGTCTTTGAGATCCCGTGTGATCCCTGACGACTGGTCACTGATCCACGTTTCACCTCATTGCGCCCACAGATTCCAGGATTGATGTGACCAACGCCACAACGCCGCACACACACACACTTGGTCCCATGGAAATCGAGCATGTACCTGGTGGGTGGAGACCACCGACCAGTCGAAAACATTCGCACCCAATATCGCACGGATCGCACAGATCGCCTGACCACCCGCAGGGATGACAGTAGCCTCTGCGGCCGCGAGGTCGAAACCTGCAGCTGCCTTGGTGATGGCGTCCGGGTCCGAGGTCGAAGCCAGTGGGACTGGCAGCATGGCACTGGGGTGGGAGGAGTGTTGTGCGGTGGACCAGCGGAAATGACGAGGTCAAGCTACTAAGGGTTTGTTCTCTCCGAGCCGGTGACCGGTGCTCCAAATCACGTCGGGAGCACTGCCACCGGTGACCGGTGTCCCACCATCTGTCACCTGACACCAGACCTGCACCGGTGCTTGCCACAGGCACTTTGGATCCACGAGCCGGAAGCACAGCCGAGGGCGTGAGGCGCTTCACCAGCATCTCCTGCACTGAGGATGTTTTACCACATATTTTCACATGGCTAATGGAAGAAAGACACTGACCTGGAAAGGAAACACCTGAGCCACTCTAAAAACCTGCAGTCACTCCCTATGTCGTATCACTTTCCTTGCGCGAGGCCTTACGCGCTGCTTACGCGGCCCTCACTTTTGCTTACGCAGAGCAAACTTCCGAAATGCTTACGCGAAATGCTTACGCAGTCTTACGCAACCCAGGGTTTTGCTTACGCGGAAGAGGAGCTTTCTCTGAGGTGGCCACAGAAGTTCTTTATCCGACTGGATCATTGACTTTGTCGGAGACAGCGCGGGAACATTGGTAGATTCTTCATGCACTGTAAATCAGTGATTCCCACAGGGACCCCAATCCCCAAAAGATTTAGTGAAGAACTGGGTGAGACCTGCCACAGGGGTAGCATGGTGGGACCACTGCGGATGTGGACACTGAAACCGGAGGAACCACCGCGTCAAACCGATGGCCTCCAGTCCATGAGTAGCTTCCTCGAAGGACCTTGGTGTCTCATGAGCCGACCGACAGAAACACCCGACAGAGATCCCTCGAGTGAAGTGCACGTGTTCAACACCTTTGAATCTCGGTTCTAGCTGGTTACGCCCTTTGGTGAAAAAGCCCACGTTCATCTGTGGATTGACCATGTTGCTTGGCAAAAACATATAGAAACATGGGGCATGACATGTACAAAACGTCACATCATTACATGGCACTATCAAAAAAGGAAAGAGACATACTAGTTGCAAATTCCCACCCGAGTTCTCACCAGATACAAAGAACCAAGGAGATAAGGAGAACGACTGAAGAACTGCAGGTTTTCCAGGTCTCGTTTCAGAAACGTTTCATGCTGAAAACGCTGTCTCTCCCGCCTTTGGAAGCCCACGAACCAACGACACAGGTCTCCGGTCATTTGGTCCGTCGTTCCACGGTCCGTCGTTCCGGGGGAGCGAGGAACGCGGTCGATGTCGAGACTTTTGGCTCGAGCTGCTCGACTTCTCGGCAAGTTGTCATGCTGATTTTCCTGGGACGGTCGCGGTTGTGGGACGGAAAACCACAAACGCACAAGACCCGTGTGGTCAGGGCGGAACGAAAAATCCGTTGATCCGCTGTGTGAAGACAAACATCGACCTCTATAGGCCCATGCACCAAAAAGAGGCCAACTCCTCTGTCAAAAGACCACCGACATGTGTTTGTTCACCTTTGTGAGCATTGTGGTTTTTGATAGTTTAGTTTAGACAAGGTCGTGCGCTCTGACAGTGGCGGCCAAAGCTGACATCGGTCACTCGACCCTGTCGTCACACCACGAAATCCTCAACCCAAAGGGAATGTTCTTTCAAGAGAACCCCCAACGAACACCTTGACCTGCTAAACAAATGGCTCTAGGAGCTGCTAGGAGCTACTATGCAAATCACATGTGTATGGCTCTAGGAGCTGCTAGGCACATCACTCGGCCGGACAATGGAATGGTTTCGCAAGCAAAAAGGTTTGTATACTGCCTTTTTGTAGAGCATGATACAGATTGTCATGCCAAAAGCTGAAACTCATCACTTTGATGCAACTCCAAGCCACAGGGTACCACCGGCCAATGGTATCCGGTATCCTTGCCTACACATACCAGCAGTCCACATACAGTACCTGTTTTCGAAGGTCGCCTCCTAAACTCCAAAGCCATCCCTGACATACCCAAACACTTCTCAAGAAGTACGTGGATTCGTCGTGCCAGTCAGTCGAGACTCTCGAGAATCAGCTGCGCTACGCGATCACCAGTGGCCACAGCAAAGTCCTGCCAGTCAGTGAAGGTTGCCAATCAGGTGATCCACAAGTCTGGACCTCCCATTGATGGAGGAAAGACACTGGCGCCACCAAGGAGATACCACCAAACCAGGAGTCCTACCGCAAAAAATGGTGCAGGAGACACCGCTTCCACGGGATGACCGGCCCGAAGAACTGCATATGATGAGGTGAGGGTCAAAAGGGAGATCCACTGACAGGAGCAATGTTGGAGTTTTTCATGTTTTTATAACAAGGCTTTGAGATAGGAAAAGAACACAAAGTGTTGCAAGTGAATAGGCTGTCGTTCACCAATCTATGCTGTCTAGGATTGTTGTTTTGCAACTCCAAGAGCTAACATGGACCTCTATATTGACCTTCCATCCAACATGAAACTTGACAGCCCAAAGGATCTTTCCACTGTATCTTATCCAACATGCATCGAACATGGCAGCCCGGCGGATAGGAATCAGGTCGGCATCAGGTCTTTCGGCTCGGTAGACAGTTTTACTCCTTGGAATATCATGTGGACTGTTGATTCTATATGATTCTATTACTTCTATTTCAACCCCACTACCAGCATGCCTGAAAACATCTCCATGTCTGGGGAAGCTGCGATTCATTCAACAGTCTACATTATCTTGAATTTCCTTACAGAACTGGAAAAAATGCATGAAACAAAAACAAAATGAAACATTCAAAAATCAAAGTAAATCACTCAAAGGAAGCACTTCTGAGGAAATATTATATTCCCCAGAAGAGGAATCACTGGAAAAATACCAAAAATCGCTCCCAATCCAAAACCAGGCTCTGGTGCTCTGAGCCACTTGCAAAGGTCGGACCGTCGGACTGTCCTCAGCACCGTGGTTGAAGAGGACCACGCCCACCTCAACCGGCGGTCAGTGTGACTCCTGTGTCATGTGGGTGGCCGGCGAGCCATACGGAGTACCCATGGGTCATCACATGCCGAGGTACCAATCCGCCCACCAAAATGAAGGTCCTTTGTAAATAGGAAATCTATCATGAATCATCGATTTAACAGGTCGAGCACTGTGAAGCCAACCAAAGATCTGCTGCGGCCTCCCCGCGGTAGTCGTAGTCCACAACCCCAGCTCCTGCATGAATCCTCAGAACCAACCGCTGGCGACCTTTTTGGCTGCGCTTTTCGCATCTTTTAGCAAACCCCCCAAAAGGCTGCAAATCAACATGGTCTTCCCTGTAATCGTTTGTGCAGGTGAGTGTTGTCGTCTGGATCCAAGCTGCATCTTCTTGACAGCAAGGCCAGAACGAGGAGCCACCCTTGCATACGTCCCCTGATAAACAGAGCACGCTGAGCAGTGCACAGTCAGTCTACGCTGGGAAGTCACGGGCCTCTGGAATGGCAATCGAAAGCCCAGTCTTCACAATGCCCTGGCGCTCCGCTCCAAAAGCACATTGGGTGTCCCTTAAAGTAGGAAGAAACCTCTTGCAAACAGGATGGGAAAAGATCATAAAGCAAATGAATGAAATTTCAACATGAATTTCAGCAAGCTTCCAGTGCCATAGTGCTCCTTTCTCAAGGTAATCCAAAAGAATGTGACTGAATAATCAATCCCACCTCCCTCTCAGGGTAACCGGACCCTCGCGCACCTTGCCACCAGCAGGGATCACCGTGGCCTCAGCGGCTGCAAGGTCAAAGCCTGCAGCTGCCTTGGCGACATGATCGGAGAAACAACTCGAGAATTTTACAGTGGTTTCAGTGATTTCAGAGGTTCGATGGCACTGGCACACCTGCATGTCCTTTAGATGGGCTTCCATATTATAAGCACCTTTTTGGAATTGTGCCATCTACTCTGAAACCACTGCACAACGACCGGCGGAAGCCGGGAAAAGAATCAACAAAATCTTCCCTCCCAGTGTCGGGGATGTACTCAGTTCGGGGAAAAAATGACCTTAAGCAAACCCAGGATTGCCCAGTTCGGGAATATAAAAACCACAGTAAGCAGCAAAACCAGGATTGGTAATCATTTTCTATGACTTCTGTCTTTCCTGGTGGTTGTTAATAGCCATCGGTGAAGAGCCCAAAGACCAGGGACCTGATTTTCGAGTACAGATTGGGAGACAGCACTGGGTTCAGGTCAGAAAACCAAACATCAACAGCCCCACGTCTCAGTCCGACACCCAACATCAGCCCACCAAAACGATCCAAGACCGGATGAAGCTCGACATCCGACCAACCCGGATTGGTTTCCGACCCGAACGGTTTCACGGATTTCTGGAAGAACACCACTTCGCACTGGAAGAGGTGTCTACTTATATACTTAATTGATTACTGTATACGTGTTTTCCTGGATTGATCCCTGAAAACATACAAAACAACATATAACGGACGTAACATCGGACTACAGGTATTGTCTTCGTTCGTCTGGAGTGACTGGGCGATCCACGCACCCATGTGACATACCGTATGTCGCTGGCCACTGATCCGATCCCACTGGAGCTTTTCGCACCTTCTGACCTTCTGAAAGGGTAGTTGACAGAAGGTCAGAAGGTCTGACTTGACAGTGGTACCTTCTGAAAGGGTAGTTGGCACCTTCTGACCTTCTTGCTGCCTCCTTCCACCGGAAGTTCGGTGTACCTTCGGGGTGAACACCGAGAGGCAGCAGAACCGCGGACCGGCAGGACCGCAGTGGATGTCGAGCGCTTCACCAGCATCTCCTGCAGCGGACGACACGCAGGCTGACCGACCGGTGACCGACCACGTCTCACTCTGTGGACCCAAAAAAACCATCAAGCCATCCCTGGGTGTGGAAGCGAACGGTACGCAACAGAGCCGACCACTGGGGTACTCTGATTCGCAGCGTTTTGGAGAAGAGCGAACTGCATAGTGAGTTTAGAAGCATACTGAGCTTCATGAAAGCTGGATTCGAGTCTCATACTGGACTCTTCGTCGAAAAAACACTCCATGTATGGCAAATATATACATTAATTTGGTTTATAGGGGTCAATGATCAATGGATGCATATTATTCCAGTCCCATGGGTGTCGACCCTCGACCCATGGCTGCGGCCTCTCCACGCTGCAAAGGCAACTCCTGGCAGTGAATGGAGTCATGGAGTCTACAGATTTTGATCGGAAAGCAATCTGTGAATTTTCGGCTAGGCTAGAACTACTCTCCCCAAATCAAACGTAACCCCCTAAAGTGGTTTTTTATTTTTTTTGGCAACGTTAGTCGAAAGATGCTGAAAGGGCACAAGTGGTGTCTGTGAGGAGGATATGTTAGCAAGATTCCGCAGGGATAAGTCAAAAATGGAAACGGCCATGTTAGTGGATGCTGGGGGACATTTTGACAAGTTTCATGACTCTGAACTGGCACAACTGGTGTCTGGGACGAGGATATGTTAGCAGCTAGGAGAAGCATTGAACGTGACCCATGCCCTGAACGTGGTATCGGTGAGGAGGACATGTTAGCAACAGTCTGCAGAGGAACATGTGTTGCAAATCCTCCGACATGGAAGCAGCCATGTTAATTGATGCCGGGAAAATTGAAGTTTCATGACTCTGAAATGGCAGAAGTGGTGTTTGCGAGGGGGGATATGTTAGCAACTAATGTTTTTCTGGTTGCCAAACAAACCGAAGTTTGCCTCCAATGAGTGCAAGCAGCAACTGGGCTCCAGGGAAGCTCTACTAGAAGCAAGATCCCTCAAAGAAGCAAGATGTTGGAAGCTCTACTGTAGACTTCAGATGGTTGGGTTTTGAAGAACAACTGTTCACATGCACCAGGAGCATGGCTATCATGGGTCTCATTCACTATATTCATTTGGGGGTGGCCATGTTACTTTGTTTCGGCCATGTTACTTTGTTTCGGCACGTGCAAAGACTCACATAGCCCTCCAAAAGGGGCATTGATTCTTCCAGAATGGCAAAAATCCTAGTTGCACGGACTAACATAGCCCCCTAAAATGGTCACATTTTTGACCAAAATTGCAATATGCATGGTTGCCCCAGGCCAGGTTAGCAATGTTTTTGGACCTTTTCTTGAAGCTACCGAAAAGCAAAAGTTACATGCAATTCCCCAGGAAACACCGGAGAGGTTTGGGATATGTTAGTTTGGGTCCTCACTGCTGCCAGGGGTACGTTTGATTTGGGGAGTGTATCAGTGAACTGACACAGGCATTGGACATCGTTGGATATTGGAAAAATTATGCGAATTGGTACTGTCGGACCATCTGTAGCTTTGTGGTGGATCCTTTCTGACTCTTTCTTTCCCGAGATATCTTTCAGATCTGCCTGAGGGTTCATGTGCCTGAGTTCTGCAAAGAAAATCAGAGAAGACCATGGAAAACGATCGAAACCATTGAGACGCAAATCGACTGTACCGTCGGACCGATCTGGGTGCTTTGGAAGGTCCAACTGTAGGCAACGCTGAGTACTCATGCAGCACTGTAGATCCCCCCAAGGCATGCACCAAATATTGAAAGACTGATACGGCAAAAAAACAATAGAACAGGCATGTTCCCCCAATTGTTTCAATTGGAATGTTCATGGGTTTTTGCTTCCCTCTTGGTGAGTTCACATGAATTCAACTATACCCCAAACAATCTGTCAAAAACTCCTCCAAGGACTTACAATAGTCTTGGCGAATGGGACGATCTGTCTCCACGTCCCACAGCACAGTCCTGCGCTTCGCTTCGCTGACGCTTGGCCGGCGCCTGTGGCTTTCGGCGCGGCCAAGCGGCGCAGAACGAGAAGACGGGCGACGACTGCAAAACGAAACGCTGCGGCATGCTGCGGAGTTTGTTTTGTTTTTTGGATTGAACATGTAATCGCAAGAACGGTATACTAATTGAATGTCTTAACTTATTTTAACTGTAAACTTATATAGACTTTATCCAATCCACTTCAAGCTGGTTCCTTTCCATTTTGGAACTGGCTCTATGTATAGAAGTTTGTGTGGGGGCGTTGTCAATGATGGCTTAATTCCAACTCAATCAGAAGCCCTAATAGGTGGGCATCAAGGATTGAACCAAAAAAGCCTGGGATCGGTAACTTGCGCGGACTGCTAAAAGCTTAACTTTTTGACTGGTTCCTAGCCCACACCCCTCCACCCGAATGGTTGGCGCTCACGACCACGCTTCTTTTCTTCACCGCGTCACGCTGGTCAGTTTCGCCAGCAACCCTTGCCAGGTCAGACAGTCTCCACCCACCTGAAAGGTGAGCCGCGGGTGCCCCACCTTTTCAGGCATCGCGCCCTTCACAACACTGCAGGCATCTCTCGGTACTTCGAAGCCTCTTGCAAAGATCTTTCGACGCTTCCATCAAAACAGCCGCATGCTCAGGGTGCTTTGCGCAAAAGCATTACGTCAGGTACAATACATGTGCATCCGCAACGCACAGGCAAAAGAGATGCAAGTGCCCCCGCGGTTCTTTGACAAAGCCCACTGACGGTCTGCCAGCCTGAGCCCATGTAGCCTGAGCCTGGCAAGCAAACCGGTGTCAGCATAGAGCGCAGGCTTAATCTCCCAACCAAAACCAAATGGCACTCTGAAGGGTGCTTGACCCGGTGGTACCAGCGATGTTGCGGGACTGGCACGTCTGCATGCGCCCAAATTCGGGTGCGCTTTCGGAAGCGGCAATTTTTGGTAAAGGCCACCCCTTCCATCCATGTAGGGCACCGCCTTGCCTGCAGGTAAAGCTTTGACCATGTCTAAATGCGTCCTTTGCACATCCTCTTGAACATCCATCGCAGTTTCCTTGTGGGCCACAATTGCAAAAGAACATCAAAATGGAGCATGAAGACACACATAGCAACCTCTTCACGCAACAGTCAGAAGAAACATGGGCAGCCGGCAAACCGGATAATAATAGTTTTTCTCAAATCGAAAAAGACTAGTGGCAAGGATCTGCTTGGGCTCACACTCGGCAAGCTCATTCGCTTTCCGCTTGGAAGCAGCGAGCGAGGGCACAGGGGTACGTGGAGCTGGAAAGCCGGATGATTGAGCAGATTCTCTGGCAGTCGAAACTTCAAACATGCGATCCACCACTGGCTGCAAATCAAGTTTCTTCCCCGACCGAGACACGATGTCCCGAACAGCTTTGCCACGCTTCTCCTTTGCATCCTGAAGGGTGCCCGGCCTATAGGTTTGGAAGCACCAATGTTGTTCAATCGTGGCTTTTCCTCACTCACGATCAGCCTGGCCCTGAAGGCTGCGACCAGGCAGCTGTCGCTCACCAAAGAAAGACCGGTACACGTTCTGCACTTTCAGGCAGAAGTTGAAAGCTTGGTACTTCACACCTCGCTGAGCGCTATCGGCCATGCTGCGGAAGAGTTCATCCGGGTTGAAAGCTCGCCCAAGGCGCCGTCCCTGGTAGCATTGGACATGAGTTTGATGGAGGTTTCCAAAAGCTTCTCGTTGAGTGCCTGAGATCGATGTTTGAGCTCAGCCAGCTGCACCTCACCGAGCCATCTCTCGACATTCTGGGTCCCAGTCAGCACGCATAAAGCTTTTTGAATCACTGCTGCAGGCTCTGCAGCGTTCGGACCCATGCTGCTGTAGACTCCCATACTGTTGTAGCATGGCTTGGTTGTTCTCGAACTCCTTCTTGCTCCCGCAGGCAGCATTCTGATAGTAGAACTGAGCTCCCGCAAAAAGGTCCATGCTGGGGCCCTCTTCATCATCCGTCCCAACCAACTGCTTCCTGGAGGCAGTGAATGAAAAGTGGAATTGAGCACAAGCAAATAAACAAGAAAAAGAGACTAGGGAAAAAAGGTAAAGGAGATTAAATGGCAAGGAATTAAAGCAATGCAGGAATCAGAACCCGCCCAAGAAAAGCAAGCAAGAAAAGGAACGAGAAGCCAAGCAAGCAAGCCAACTCTGCTGGCCCGCGCCTGCACCAGAGCCAAAAAGCCAAAAGGAAACAGCCACGGCCAAGTGCCCAAACATAAAAGCTGGTAGCCCGAACGAAGCATTTTGTGTCCGCCAGGCAAACAATGCGCCCCCCACGCACCCTGTGCAGTTGACGCGGGCGAATCAACGGCCAGATAGGGCCACAAGCCCAGTGACCGTGAGGCTGCGGGACGCAGGAGCAATGGCAGGAAACAATGGAAAGCCAGCGGCAGTCTTGCCGAAAGCCCACTGTTGGGATCTGGCGCAGCATGGCCGGGGTGGCATGTCCAGGATTTGGGATAGCAATAGTTTCATGTTTTTCCACGTTCTGGGCTGCAAGGCGACATGAAGGTCGCAATCAGCACTTCCACGTCAGCATTGCCAACCTTGTGGTGACCATGCTAGAATGCGCCCTTGCGAGCGACAAGGGCCCACATAAGCACACAGGCAGTAGACACGCTGCACCCACACCCAAGAAAAAACAAAGGACACAAGAGAGAGGGGAAAGGGAGCATGGAAGAAACAGCAGGATGCACCTGCCATACCGGAGCATCCTGGCCTTTCTTCCTCCCAAGTGCCTGCTGAGCATGGATGTCTTCATCACCTCACTTTTTTCACGCGCTGGCAAAGCTGTTCAAGCTGGCATTCAAAAATCGCGACACCGTTGAATTAATGTGGAAGCCTTCGCGCTTGTGCCTGGCGTTTTCGCAGGACCCGGGCAAAATGAAATCTATGATCTTACTGAGCTCACAAAGAAAAAACTCAAAACGAGAGTCTGACCAAGTCATCATATCACGACCCGCTTCGATCAGTTCTTTGCGGAGGTCTGCGCAGCCAGGAGGAGCGCGTAGTTTCTCCAGCCGCTCCTTGCTTCAGCTGTGTGGCTCAACAGAAAATAGCTTTGCGCACAAGCCTCTACAAATCATTCCAAGGAGCAATTTCGGCACGGATCATACGGTTGAGGCGCTTCACAGCCACAGTGCTCGTTGTAGTTGCAGATCATATCTGAAAAGCTGCAAGGCTGAGAATGCCTGGTCTTGTATTGCTCGGAGGTCAAATTTAGCCCGCAAAGAGCACCAGGGCCCATGAGGGTCCCACTTTGGCTGAGCCAGCTTGGGCGTCCATGGGGAAGAGTTTTCTGCTCATAGTGCATATCCAGCAAAGAGAAAGCGTTTCGACCGACCAGCGTTGAAAGCTGCCTGCCAAACGCGATCGACAAAGCTCGCCTCGAAATGCATGTGCCAAATGGCCCGCTCTTTCGACTGCCCTAACTCTTCTTGAGGTGAAAGTTCTTGACTTTCCGAAGCCTCTGCTGGACGAAGGCAGCGTCAGCATTCGCAGTCGCATGTTTGTCAAAGGCCGTGGTTAGAACCTTCGAGGGCTTCATCTTGCCGAGGACCTTTTCCAACAACTTAATCAAATTCCTTTTCGATACCTTTTCATCAGCCTCTTTGCGCGCAGCTTCGCAAGAGGTTGAACTGGCTGACAAATAGTCAAAGCCATTGAAGAGAGCCAAAGCCGCTGCACAAACCACCTCCGCGTGCTCCTGCGGAGACACATGGGACAAGCAGTTCAAAGCCAAGACGGTCTGCTTGTCAGTGCCTTCATCCAAGACCTTGCGCTTGCACAGGACGTGGCTTGGCTTGACATGTTTCTCCTTGTGCGGAAGCTCTTCGCCATCTGAACGACAAGGGCAGAAGCAGCCGGTCACAGGCAGCATAGAAACGAGGCTGGCCAGCACGGCGCATCTCTTGCATCTTAGTAACTTAGTGGTAAGCACCAACAAACAAGTGAAGTTTTGGTTGATCTGTACTCCCCTAATTTTTCGGGGGAGTTACAAGGCAGCCAGGCATTCCCGAGAAAACAAGAAAACAACAACAAGGCAAGGTACTGCGCAGGCATGGCGCGCTATGAGGATGCCAGAGATCCGCTGCAGCTCTGTGACGGAAAGGACATGGCAGCTGGTCACAAGCTGGATACACGCTGTAGTGACAGTGCATCAGCAAAACATTTGTGCCAAGGAGACGCTGCTCAGTGTTCTGGACTCGACAGGCCAGCTCATATGTATCAAGCATAAAAGCCTTAGAGAATCCGCCCGCGCCGGAGGTGCCAAGGGCGTCATGTAGGCTCGTGTAGGTTCGCAAGGAATCCGGCTAGATAAGTCAGCTTTAGCTTGGGGGGTCCATTTTTCTCCTAGAAATGCTATGTGTTTCAATGTATTTGAGAAGTGGCTAAAATTGGACCAAATGTTGACGATGCCGGTTATGCCGGTCTGGGTAAATCGCAATATTGACATCGCAGACGTCTCGGCAAGCCAAGGGCACTGCACTATGGATATGCGATGCCGGTTATGCCGGCCAGGGGAGACTGCATTATGGACGTCGCAGAAATCGCAAACGTCTAGGCAAACCGCGGGACACTGTACGATTGATATCGTGGATGTGTTCGGGAGACAGACAGAGACAGACAGAGACAGACCCAGACCCAGACAGACCCAGACAGACAGAGACCGACAGAGACAGACCAGACCCAGACAGACCCAGACAGATCTAGACCCAGACAGACCCAGACAGACACAGAGAGACAGACAGACACAGAGAGACCGACAGACACAGAGAGACAGACCAGCCAGCCAGCCAGCCAGCCAGCCAGCCAGCCAGCCAGCCAGCCA